ATGGAAAAGGTCAGTCCACGCTTGCAAGTAATAATTTTACTCGGTTCGCAGTTATATCCCTCAGAAACACTGATCTCATCAGTTACTTGACACTGTACTATTTACTTACATTCCATATTTACCGTCCACTTTGCCTTTATCGACGTTATCTTACCTAACTGAGTTTTTTTTGCAGAAAGAGAAATAAATAGAAAGAAAAACATAATTCAAAGGAGTAAGTCAACGATTTCATTGTTATATCGTGTCATGTGACTTCTAGTTAGCCAATGAGTGCCATGCATTCTGGGATACATTTTCAGCTATAAAACAATACTTGTCAATTTTTTTTCCGACAGTTTTCTTTTCAATGCCTGTCGGAGCAGAGTTGCCACTTTATTACACTCATAAACAAGGTATGAATACAAAATAAACATTTGCTCTCTTTATTATTTTGCCAGGCCTGACAGCATAGTTATCTAAATAAATACGCAATAAGTCTTTTCAAAAATATGTATTTGCTTTCAACAGTGATTTATTCATTTAATTGGCTTTCACTAGCTTTAGTCATTTTTCAGATATGTCAAGTATTTGATTAAATCCTATTATTTCGTTGTAGCAAATACACATAAAAAGAGCACGGTGGCTTCTTCTGAAGGTAAGGGAATTGCACAAGTGGGTATTCGTTGTTACCTTTCAGATGCATGATGTCAAAGGTAATTGAATAAATAAGTATTACTTAATGTTTCTTGAGCCCCTGACGTTTAAGCAAACTCATACTTTGCCGTGCTACAAGGGAGGAGAAAGTTCTTGCAACTTCATTTGAGTTTGTCAGTGATACAGCTAATGTTCTTTTCAAGACTACAGGGGTGATAGGAAGCCTGTTGTGCGCTCTACCATTTGAAACCTTCAAAAAAGTTATTAAACATCTGCGATTGGTTTGAGTGGTCACTTACGTTTTTATCACCTGTACCTATATTCTGTTTTATCAGCTGCTGACAATGAAGGCAGTAGATATTTCTCAGAGGAAACAAATGGTCCCTTCCGGTCAAACACCTGGGGACCACAACAGCCAATAGGTAAGTCTTAACTTTTTATGATGTAACCAGGAGCCAATAACCCGGAGCAAGCCTTCAGTTCTCCTGTGCCCATGCAACAGCGTTCTCATTTAATATCTTATGTCAAGATCGATATTTCCGTATACTTTAAATGTCAAATACAAATCAGTCAGCACTAGATACGAAAAACTAGTATTGCTGATGTTTCGATGCCATATTAAATACTCCAAAGTGGTGTTAAAAATAAACAGCGCTGTGGAAAGCCGCTGCACAGGCTGGAAGCATGGGGGTTGCGCCGGTTTGTGGGCTCCTTATGTAACCAAAAAATATTATAATGTGCCCGAAAACGACAGCCCATGATTTATATAGCGTTTTCACATGACGTCACGTCGGCCATTGGTGGAGCAAAACAAAGAAAGGAGGCCATGTTGGTTGTTGGTTGTTGGTTGGCCATGTGGCAGTGAAACTTTTTTTCATGTAAAAACTTTCTTTGTCCCAAGAAACTAACATAGCTACTTATCACGAGAGTAAAAATACTCTGGAAGCTATTTCATGATGCTCTTGGCCGTCGGAGCCTCCTAAGAGTCCCGAAGAAATCATTACGGTAACACTAAGATAAAAGTCTTTCGTGACTGACTTGTGGTCATTTAAGTCAAATGAGAGAAAGTAAAATTCCCCATTGTGTGTTGATGTTGTATTCCAGAAGGAAGAAAATTAATTCAGCATTTAACAGAATACTTGGAGGCATTATACCCACATGAATGTAACAATTTAAGATGCCATTGCTAGAGTTCTTACTTTGCTTGGAAGGAAAAGGTGAATTCACTTTTGTTTTGCTTTTCCGCAGGAGAGAACGAAGAGCTTTCAGAAATAGAAACAAGGGCAATAGCGAAACAGAACTTGCTTCCCGGTGAAGGCGAGTAATAAATTCCTGTGATGTCAGCAATAAACAAGATATATGTCGATACAATAAACGCTACTAACTTCTCTCTCCTAGTTCAATTTATTTCAATAGGACGCGGGGGCCTTTTGAATAGAGGAAGTCTAATTTAGCGCTACACATACCTCATCCCTCACTTGAGAAAAATATTTAATTTGTCGACTAAGATCAAGTTTAACCCTTTTATTAAATATAAAGAGGTTGTAAAGAGGAACTTGTGCTTCTTAGAGGTTTGGGGAAGGGCTTTAGTATAAGTAGTTTTACTACAGATGCAGTCAATTCTTTCAAGTTCAATCTTCGTTTCGTAGGACCAGTAGGATACCATGGAATTGGTGGACAATATCTCCGTCCTCAAACTATTAGAAGAAATAAAATTTTAAGGAATACTGCACAGCTTTTTAAGAGACCCTCTAGAACGCCAGGTTTTCTAAACGGTAAGTGTTGTCTTGGGTTTTAAAGATAAACCATATGTTATTATGATGCTACCATCCCTACCTAGTAGATCCCAGCTCCAATGGATTATCACGTTAGCACTTCGGCTAAATATAAATTACTGCGGGCAGCTATAATTTCTGCCTTTTTGTTGTAGTGGACAAATAAATTTCTTCACTTTTTGATGACGACGACAACAATAACAATGGGGTCATTGTAATAATGATAATACCTTGATCATATGATGAAGAGCAAAGATGATTATGAGATAATATAGATGAAAGTTATCATGATCAAAGGATAATGATGATTATGCTGAAAATGATGCTGAAAAGATAACTCTAACACATTGCTTAAGGCATTGGCCAAAGCAGAACTGGCTCACTGTAATAAACGAAAACGACCTACTGGTTCAAACACAATTGGTTATAAGAGAAATGATAACGCTCGGTTTTAATGTTATTGTAAACTCTACAATTGTTGCCATTGGTTGCCTAAGCTCCCTTATTAAGATGATATTCACAATGGTCCAGTTAATAATGAAAAAATTAAGGTAGCAGTGTTGATTAAGTGAAGTAAAGTGAAGATAGTGTGATAGTGATAGTAATAATAATGTAATCATTTAATACGAATATTGTTGCAGTAAATAGACGATCAAAAGATACAAAGAATAAGAAAACAAGACGTGAACTCACAAGCATAAACAAAGCGTCTCCAGTAGGTATGTGATTTCCTTCAGAAGGAATCGAAAGGATTATTATCTATTGCTTAGTTGCATTCTGTTTTATTTCAGATTCGAGTAAACCAAAGAACGATTACATAGCAAAAAGTAAGAGCCAAACATTTCACTTTCTTACTATTATAGCATTGTGTAAGCTTCTGGGGAAAAGTTTTGCAAACTAATTTCAGTTTTTGTTCCTTTTTCAGATAACCATGTAAAGAAATCAGGCCTTCCAAAAGGTATGGATCAAAGTTATCCATCACCATGGTTACTTTAGGTGCTCAGGAATATACAAGACTGTTTTCCGGAAAAATTAATGCATGTGGACTCAAATGAACCTTAAATAATAGACGTGAATAAAATGCGAATAAAATTTTGACTTCGAAAACATGTTTTGCTCTTTTTTTAGTTTTCTCTCATTACGTTCGCGAAAAAACTTCTAACAGCTAAGGCATGGTACAGAGTGGCGGTTTTATATGTGTTTAGAATTTCTTGGCACTTGAAAAATGTTCGTTGAAGAAAAGGCTTTAACACCTAGAGATAGCAACAATTACCTTTCTTTATATAACTTTTGCCTTCAACAGTTTGTACTGACGAAGCTAGGATTGAGTCGAATATAATGACAAAATTGTTTTCTTGTTGCCTGTGACTACCTCGCTATATTTTCCTATTATCCAATTCGTTCAGTTCACTCGCAAAAATATTCCCGTAAAATGATGTAACATTTTAAGATGAACTAACGCTAGTAAACCTCTTTTCAAACTTAAATTTGAGTAATAAGATGGCCATTTAAAAAAACTGACGTTTAACCCTGTTACTAGTGATAAGTAAACATTCGACACTTTCTAATACGGATATTGTCACGTAATATAACAATGCTTGCCCTACTTCATTTAATTTAGTGAGGGCTAAGTTAAAATTAAAGTAAACCCAGTAATTTCATTTATTTTTAATTAATGGCAGGAAACAAAAGGAACACAAGCCGGGGCTCGAGGAACAAAATAAATTCAGAGATAGAGAATCTGTTAACAAAGTTCCTTATTGTCCTGTAGATAGAATCTGTAAAGTTAAGTGGAGGTTACTTGTCTAAGAGATAAGTTAATTGCATGTGCATTTCGGTCAGGTTAAGGGCTTGTTACTTAAAGAATCAGTATACATGCAAATACTCTCAACATAAGAAAAATTTGCCGAGACTCACTCAAGGTGAAAAGATGGCCATGAAAACATTAAGCTTTAAAACGAGAGTAACACGCCGAAATAATAGTAATAATTTTTTTGAAAGAGCAAACTGCAGAATAGGAACTAACCGCAACTTAGGCAATTTACCTTAAAACTGACAGTAGTTTTAATAGTTATTGATAATAAAAAAGCAGAAAAGCCTTAAAAAATTAATTATAATGAGATTGAAGCAGTCAAATAAAGGTTATGCTTTGGTAAAGCTGGATGTTGAATTTTATTCGACTTATTTCGGGTAATCTTCATTTCTTACTTTTTCTTAACTAAAATGTGTATTTTTTCCTCTTAAAAACACAGGTGAAACGCTAGACGATATTATGAAAACTAATCAACCCGGCAAAAAGACGAAAAAATCTATTTAAAGAAGAGGAAAGAGTGAGAAATGTTTGGTCGGTTTGATTGTCCCGTCTCTCCATCACCCCTCTAAGCGCCCCTGTCCCTCGTTTATATGAAAAAGTTGTAGAGAATTGTGAAAGTTAACAGTCCCTTTGGTATTTCGCAAAGATTCATTTTGCATTTTTTGTTGTTTACTGCCCTTCCATTGCTAAAAGGGGTGAAACTTTAAGCAAGAACGTGGTTCAAGGTGTTATCAGCCGGAACACCGTCCTGTTCTGAGTTCAGGGTGCTGGTGAATTACATAGCTTTGTTAACGCTAAGTTAGCTCTGTTATAACAACTTTTCCTAGAATATTCCTCGAGATGTGTAGACGAATGTAAAACTGATATTTTGCCTTGTATTTTAAGACTGTGCTCATATAGTGTTTAATGAAAATAAAGGAAAGAAGCAAATTATGTCAGTTAATCGGTCAGTCATCAGTTGAACTTGTGAAAATCAATAAAAATGTTTTGATGTTTACCAATTATCACGTTATCTCGTGGGATAAACAGTGTATTTGTTCAAAACCCTCACTCTATGAGCGGCATGTCTGCTGTAGGTAAAATAATTTTTCAGGTTAAACTAGAAGTCAACCTACAATTCTTGGGACAGAAATGCATTATTCACTATTTTTTGTAGTTTTTGGGTGCCCTGATAAGGCAGTGCAACCTTTTTGCAAATATATTGCAGTTCTCCCTCACCCACCCTATACAAAGACGAAACTCGGGAAAAATTCTGGATACACGCGTCCAACCTTGTTTTTGGGCATGTGTGATTTAAAAAGAGCCCCCAAACTGCAAATGTGTCCCAAACATTTTTGTCCATTATTGAATTCAAAGAGGAAGACAAAGAAAATTCTGGTCAAACCTGAAAACTGATTTACCTACAACATCTTCTCCCAAAGGCTTGTCCCAATGTATACGTTAATGATATCCTTTATGACGGTATTTTCTTTAGCAGGCCTAGTCCACACTAAAGGGGCTTTGTCCTAGAAAAAGAACTAGCCTTTTAAGGTCTACATTTTTATTTTCGTTTTTGTTTTACCTTGTACATTAACATGTTGCGTCGATTGCAGGATTGCTTAATTTCATGTGCTTGTTTTTAAAGCTCTCCTGATATGGCGCCAGTGATTTTCAGGAAGTTATCTTTTAACCTTTCACATCACTTCCAATTTACCTGATGCTGACAATTTATCATTTCTAGAAGAAGTTTTTAAACTGAGTTACATTATTGGCGGGAGATCACGCTTTTTAATTTGGATGAAATCCAAACGGGAGAAATAAAATTTCGATTTCACTTTTGTCAGAAAAAGTGTAGACAGGAACAAATACATGTTTGCTTTACAAAAAAAAGGATGTCACCAGCAAGCTTGACGGGGCTGAAAGAGAAAAATTCATGACAATTAAGAAGATACGCCAGAGCTAAGGTGTTATTTTCATTGACCAAAAATTTATTATTAATGATGGTATCCGGTTGATTTTGTTTGAAACTTTTTTTTCAAAAGTTTAACTCGCCATTTGAGCTCAGGGATTGTTATCCCATGATACTGACCCTGGATAATCCGTCATATCAAACTCATCCTCATGCAGTAATTGTTGAATATATCCTTGTACATCAGTTTTCCTGTTTTTGATACCGTCTAAACTTTGTTTATCTATGTATCCGAGAAATTTTGGTTCTGACAAAATCGTACGTATGTACTTACGTACTTCACGTAAGCCGGGGTGAAATTTTGCATTTCAAGCACTCGGGCGTTTCGGTGGTAAATCGCATGGCCACTCGGATTTTTGAAAGAAAAAATACAACAACGACAACAACAACAAAGCCGATTCTTCCTTCAGACTAAATTTAATGTCTACATTAACGTGGATAATAGAAAGAGCTAGAGCAAGAGATTAACAAAAGAGACCACAATTTCGTTGGAAGAAAAACGTGAACATTTTATAGGAAATGAGAAATACTAGTGGTCACCAAGGTGAAAACGAGCGGCAGCGAAAAAGAAAGGATAACAGGAGCACATACGACATCAATTCTCCATAAACGTGTAACTAGGAATTTTCTGGAAGTTTCACGCTGTACTAGTCTTGCAAAACAACGGCAACAAAATGTTCAAAAAAGTGTGCTGCACGCGCAAATTGTTTTTTGCTAAATAGACCTACGTTTTCGTTGCCGTTGCCGCTTAGCATTACACGATTTTATGTTTTGTTTGAGTAAACTACAAATATTAACAAGAGCCTTGCTTTTAGCCTTGGCTAAATTATGTATTAATTGTTTGCGTGTTTCCCCCTATTGCGGGTTCTCCTTTCCTGTCAGTAAAGGTTACAGAGCAGTGGAGACTGGAGACTTTAGGTAACATAAGTGAAAGAGAGAATGAATGAAATCTTGAGCTTATTCTCTCTGGGCACTCGGCGACAAAATAGTCTAAAACTCTGTTACGTAACACTGGAGCGCCGCGCATAACCCGTGGCATTCAGTCCTTTCGTTCACTTCTCTACGCCTCTTACTCAGCTCAACGCATTAAGCGATGAACCAGCTCTCTAACAGGAGCTTCCCGCTCCTACCGCCTAGGGCTGAGCTCCCATATCTTATAAGCATTATAGGCAATGTTTTCGGATGGCCCCAAAGAAAATATTCCTTGACTATACTGTGCTCCGCTGGCATTAGTTTATTTTATACTGAATGAAGTATAGCCTAATATATGTGCACGGTTTTGCAGACGGGCCATTTTCGATTAATGATATTGATGTTATTGACCGCCCGGCCAGGCGGAAAGTGAATTTCTTACCTGTCTGACAGAATGATAACACTACAGCCAATCAAAACGCTTGCTTGTGGGAAGCCACCTTGACGGAGTCAAAGTTGTCACGGTTGTTGGGTAGACATCGATTTCACTCGGGTTAATTTCCCTCACGAGTGAAGCCAACCCCAAGATCTCTTTCAAACTCTGACGGTTGCTTGGAGATATTACTGGGTGAGTTTCTGGTAATTTTAATAATTTTGATACATTTTAAGCTACAATAAATCTAGCTTTGTATTTGGCCATATATGCGCACACGATTGCCAAGGACTAAAAGACTATTGATGTTATAAAAAAAAAACTGCACTCTAGGTAATCGAGTGTTTTGGTTTTTTGTCGTATCTGTTTCTGACCTCTGATTTTACTCGCTGAAGTGAATATATCAATGAATATGGAATAATGCATTTAACCTTGCATATTTCTCCTTGTTGTGTGTCTATCCTCGCAGAGAAAAATCAAAATATCATTTTATTTAAGGACACACACGTGTTTGGTGAACGGCGGGTCATTTACCTCTTTAATAAATATGACAAATTAGTGTCAATGTTCGAACTTGACTTAACCCTAAAGATGCAAGAACCTCAGTGAAGATCGGGTTGATCTTATCATTAGATGAAGTTCGTGACCAGTCTGATTCTCTCCATGTCGTAATTATGGTTAATTCTAATCCTTGTGGCACACAGTAGTCTATTTTTTATGACAGTGAAAGGCGGAAAGGCTTGATACGAGTCAAAAACGTAATGCAGACGAGCGTTAGACTTTTACTTCAATTATCCGGCCAGATTTGGTTTAGAGCCTTGCGATCTCTCAGTGTCAAACCGATAATAACATAAAACACAAACAACCTGCTATTTTGGTGTTCAAGTGAATCGGAAGGATTACAGGCGTATTACCTATCTCAGATTATCTTACTGCTTAACACGAATAGCTCTTTAAACCGGGAAAAATTATCTGAAAGAGAAGCTCTTTGTCAAGAAGTACTCTGTTAAACGATTAACTTTGCTTGGGTTTTGGCCACTCTGTCCGCTACAGTGTTTTAATATTTCATGCTGTGCAAGCAAGATTTTTTGACAATTAACTAAGTGATCGCTTTCAAGTTGAATTCTAACGACATCTAATACGGCAGTTTGTCTACAAATATATATGATTCGGGGACCGCAGGAAATGTCGTTGTAATTTGAAACCACCCAAATAACTAGCTTCTGAGAAACTAGAGCAAACTGAGTCCAAAGTTGATTCGTTCTCGCACATTTTTACGTTGGTGTTATTGTCATACACCTTATCCAAAATGACGTCAAATTTAATTTGATATTTTTTGTCCTAATGATAATTGGCCCTCGTTGCCACGGTTCAAGGCAAAACTTCCTTTGAATTCTGCAAGTGCAATCAAGGCAAAGAGGGTTATTAACATATTATAATGAAAAGTATTGCTTCCGCCATAACTGACTAAGGTGTATGTAATTAAAAAAGTTTAAGTAGCTACTTTGACAACAGCACCTAGAAAAGCATAAAACAATATTTCAAAAAAAATTCATCGAAAAAGCCCGACCGCAAAACATAGAGGGCAGCCATGCATAGAGATAGTTACGAACAGATGATGCTAAGCATTGAACATTGAACAGGGAACGGTCGACTTTCCTTAGT